TTTTCTGGTATAAGATGGATCTGAGTGAAAAACTTAAATAGAAACCCTGTGCTGTCTCCTCTTTCTTCTGCCTCTTTACTAAACCACGTGGCTGCATGGCAGTCCCAAGCACCTCTTGCCTCATCCCTGGGTGACCTCGGCAATGATTCATGGCATTTAGAAATTCCAGTGGGATAAGAAAGCAGAGGAAGGGTCATTTATTTTCTAAACAGAAAGAAGTGAGTGCAACACTCATGCCAAGGGGAGATCTAAACACACTTGCACTCTACACATAGCAGGACCAGCTCTCCTCCTGGGTGAGTGGAGCCAGAGAAGGAACCTATGCTCAGCTGGAAGGAGGAGCAGAATGGAGCCAACCAAGAGCAGAGGTGGAAAAAGGCATGGAAGGAAGGGTGGTGGGATGAAGGCAGGTTCTGGAGCCAGAGAGTACCCATCTGAAGCCCAGTTCAGCTACTAACTAGTTCCTTAGCTTAGTGCAATATGACTTATCCCCACCTATGGGGCCTCAGTCTTCCCTCCTGTGTAATGGACAGAAAAATGCACGTGTCACAGGAGCACTGCAGGATCAGATGGGACGATGCTGTAAAGCACCGAGCATACCAGACACGTACCAGCTCTCAATAAATGGCTGCGCCAGCCATGACCACCGTGCCATCTCTCCTGGAGTGCAGTGTGCATCCATATGCAGGAATTGTGCACCGAAAAGCATCTTCTTGGATGGGGGCTGGGACTCTTGAAGTCAGGCAGAAGGTCAGAAAAGATGATAGCATGGATGGCTTGGGGACAGGATTTGACAAATGAATGCTATTTAGGTAGGACACGAGGTTTCCAAATCAGCATGATGGTTCAGCTTCCCTTTTCCTTCCTATATCATTCATCACCTAAACAAGCTGGGCTGCTCCTCATGCCTGCTTTTCCCCAGCTGAGGCTCAAAAACCTGCTCCAACACACGCACACACATGCTCTCAATGCACTCAAGCATGTGCACCCTGGGGCCCCTGGTTTCATGGGTCATCTGGAGCATCAAGTTTGTCCAGGCCTTCCATGTCCCTCACCTCTTAGGATCATGAAGGTCAAAGCCTCTGCGTGGTCCAGCCACCTCCCTCTCTCCACCACCCTGCACATTGAGCAGATGGCCCTCACAATGGTGAACCTACTCTCTTAGTTTCCTATTGCTTCCGTGACAGACATCTACAAGCAGTGACTTTAAACAACACAAATTCATTCTCTTGCAGTTCTGGAGGTCTCCTTGTCTTTCCCAGCTTCTAGAAGCAACCTGTGCCCCTTATTCCCAGTTCTGCCTCTCTCTTCAAGGCCAGTGAGGTCTCTCTTTCTGACTCAGACCCTCCTGCCTCCGCCTTAGAAAGATTCTTATAATGGCACTGGGTCTACTCACATAGCCCAAGATAACTTCCCCATCTGAAGATGCTTGACTTAATTCTACCTGCAAACTCTTTCTGCCATATAAGATAACCTATCACCAGGTTCCAGGGACTTAGGATCTGGAAACCTTTGGGGCTATTACTTGGCCTGTTATACCTATCTACCTCCATATGTGCTAACCTTCTGGGCTGTCTCTCCAGTGGTGGAGAAGATGGCCCCTCACTTTCCATATCCAGTGCTTCCATGGGAACCTTCTAGAAATGTTGTAGAAGTGTACAGATGGTGTCTTTCTATACACCCCAACCACTTCTTCACAGGCCTCCTCCTGCTGACTTTTTTTTTGGTGGGGGAGGTGGGGACTGAGGTTTGAACTCAGGGTTTTATGCTTGCAAAGCAGGTGCTCTACCACATAAGCCACACCTCTAGCCCCTCCTGCTGGCTCTTAAGGATGGGGATGTCTCCTGGCCTTGTTTCACCCGCTCTTATCTCCCTCCTCACTTCTTAACTCTAGCCAGACTTCCGGGAAGTGCTTTATGCTGGTCTCCTCAGCCTTGTCACTTTCCTGCAGGGCATCTGTGATAATCCTTGGTGCTATAGGGGGTGTCCAGTGTGGTGCAAACTGTTTCACAGTAACTCTGGCCTCTGCCTCCAGATGCCCGTGGTACACACCCCCGCGCCCCCCTCCCCCCCGAACTGTGACAGCCAAGTCCCCAGACATCACCAAAGTGCCCCACATTGAGACCCACTGCTCTTGCTAAAGTCATCAATGACCTCTTGGCACTAGATACAATGGACACTTTGGAGCCCTTCTCTTCCTTGGCTTCTGAGCAGAATTTGATCATGTTTCCCACTATGACCCTCACAGCCTCTCTTCTCCAGGACATTCAGGACTCTCTCCTGGGCTTCCCCTACCTCTTAGGCCACTCTTTCTCTGTCTCCCTTGAGGATCAGGCTCCCCTCTGGACCATTAACTCTCATGATTCTGGAAGCTAAGTCCAAGGTTCTGGCTACCCCTGCTCAGCTCAATTGCCCCAGGTGGGCTCCACTGACCACCTGTGCAAGGCCACTCAAATGACAAGCTCTGAACCCATGTATCCACCTGGCACCACCACTTGGGCTTCTTGATGTGACTCCAAACTCAGTAAGTTCAAAAGCAAAATTGTGACTTTTCCCACAACCCAGTCCCCCTCAGGCATTCTCCATGTTGCTGAGAAAGGCACCATCAGCCACCTGCTGGGAGGGTGGACCTCAGGAGCTGTCCTTGACATGCCCCCTCCCCTTACTGAGGTCACTTAGTCCCTCTGCAAGTCAGACCTCTCATCTCTGAACCAGTTCAAAGCCAGGTGCTAGTCACCATGTCTCCACTTGTGACTCTGTCCCCCAGGCACTCATGACTTACAGAACCCAGATGTGGGCCTCCACTCTTCACCAGTGCCCCAACCCCTGCCCCCATCCATTCTTCAGGCTGCAGCCAAGTCATCTTTTCAAAACCTTAATGTGAACAGGTCACTCCTCTTTACCCCCACTCCCACACACACACTTAGAATAATCTGGAAGCTTCTTACTGTCCTTAAAACAAAAGTCCTCACTGGGTGGGCCTCCATCCATCCTCCAGTGCTTGTGTTTGCTGTGCTCCAGGCACCAATGACCTGTGGCTTGGATATACTGTGCCTTCTGCCACAGGGCCTTTGCTCATCCCATCCCATTCATCTGATGCCCCTCACCAATCTTCACTTGGTGGTCATGCTCTTCTTGCAACCACAGCTCAGTACCAGAAAGTCTTCTCTGGCTTCTGGCCACCTCAGTTCCCCTGGCTGCTCATTTTCTCCCAGTCTTGATATCACCTTTCAGAGTTGTAATTTTATATGGATTTGCTTATTCTTTGACAATTCCACTTCCTGTACAATAAGCCCCATGAAGGCAGGACTTATGCCTGATCTAGCCGGCCACTGAATCCCCAAGTCAACCAGGGCGTGGCACTAGAGGTGCTCAGAGGAGAAGTGTTCATGTGAACAACAACCTTTCTGGGGGCTAGCTAGTTTTCTCTATTATCCCATGTCCTCCCATCGTGGGCCAGCGGCAACAAGTTGACTCCTACAGTTGTCCTGGGACTCCTTCCTCCTCATATCTTTGAAAACCCTCTTCCCCAGCTCTTTTTTGGGGGTGGAGAGGGGGATGGGACTGGGATTTGAATTCAGGGTTTTATGCTTGCCAAGTAGGCACTCTACTGCTTGAGCCACAACTCCAGTCCATTTTGGTCTGGTTATTTTGGAGATGGGGTCTCATGAACTATTTGCCTGAGCTGGCCTCAAACTATGATCCCCCTGATCTCAGCCTCTCAAGTAGATAGGATTTATAGGTGTGAGCCACAGGTGCCAGGCAAATCTTTGCCACCTTCACACGTTAGCTAGCTACAAATCCCTCTCAAATTTGCTCACTTCCAGTGCCTGAGCTCAAGCCACAATCTTTTTTTACATGAACTCTCTTCCTAGCTGTCTACCTGGGATCCTGATTTGCCACACTGTAACCTGACTGGGCCATACTTCTGTTTGGCCAAGTCACTGACTTCCCCTGGCCACCAGGATGAAGAAGGCACTTACCCTGACCTGAAAGAGACAGCATGACTGGCTCCTGCCTCTCTACCGATTTCTTGCCACTCTGCACCCCGGGCTCATTGCTGCCACCACACAGGACTTCTCTGAGGTCCTCTCCCTCAGCTCTTTTGCCTGTATGGACCATGTTTTTGTCCCCTGTCCAAGATGAACTGCAACTGATCCTTCAAGTCCAAGGCTAAAGGCAACCTTCCCCAACTCCTCAACAAGGCCAACAACAACCATAGCTGACACTCACCATGTGGGAACCAAGGCCAAGCTCAAGTCTAAGAATTTTATAAGGTCGGCTTATTCAGTTACACCAGCAGCTACAATTAACCTCACGCTACATCCGAAATATGCGCAGGAAAGAAAATGACTCATCCAAGGTCACATTAGATAGGAAACAGTGAAGCTGGATGACATTATGAACTCAGGCTCTGGGCCCCGAGCTCCCAGGCGCTATGAGCACTGCCATTTCCCTCTGCACTATGTTCCCATAGCGTCCTCTGTTCCCCCTCTGGTGGCAATAATCACAAGTGTGCATACCTGTTCAATTCCTGTCTTCCCACGAGACTGTCTGCTCCTGGGGAGAGGGACCACATCTGTCTGTAGAAGGCGTTACCTCTGGCACCTGGCCCAGTACCTGATATGCCCACTTTCTAAGCTGTATATCATGGTGTCCCCACAGGCCCCAGTTCCAAGTCATCCGCTTTGGAAGAGGGGTTGACTGAACCCTTTGTAAATGCCACCAAATGGCCCACCAGACATACAGGAGGATCCATAGAAAAACTGCCCTAATTCTACCAGGCAATTTGCTCATCTGCTTCACACTGACTTGCGCTCCCTCAGCATGACCTAAAGGGACCCAGCCACTCAGCTGGGGCAAGGGCACAAAAAGATCCATCATCTACTTGACAGAGATGAATGCAGAAAAACTCCTGAGCCAGCTCATAGCTCCCCCTGCTGGTCTCCCTCCCTGTCCCTTGGCAACCTCTCCCGTGGAACAGCCCAGGGGACACTCACCAGCCAGGAGAAGAAGCCAGCTGATTTGTCCTGGGAGGATATCTGCCCCTCATAGGGGCCAAAGATGTGACCCTTGGGGACGACCTCATTTATGCATCGCACGTCGCTCTCCCCACTGGCTTCCTTCACCACCTCCATGCCCTGTGGGATGGTGAGGGCTGCTCGGTCTGGGATGCCCACAGGCACGGGCGTGTCAGACACAAACACAGGGGGACCATGGTTCGGGCACTCGTCCACAAAGTATTCCTGGCAGGACTCGCAGACTGGAGGGATGGAAAGAAGAGGGAGGCCTCAGTCGTGGTGGGAGATAGGAATCCTATGGAGGAGGCTGAGGGGCTAATGGGGGCGGGAGCTAGCTGGAGGCCATGCACAGTGACTCTAAAGTCCCAGCTGTAACTCAAGTTAGCCACAACTCCCTGGATCATCATTAGCAATAACCCAATATCCTCCCTGGGAGCTAAAAGGACACACCTGCCCACACCAAGACCAAGGCCTTTTTCTCAAGTTTGAAAAAGGGGAGAAAGAGCATAGCTTTGGGGACCAATGGACCTGGGTTTGAAATGCAACTGTACATGTGTGGGCTGTGGTTGCTGGGACACTTAACTCTCACCAAACTTCAGTGTCCTCAGCTGGAAAATGGGGCTACCTTGGTGGTTCATGATGTGAGAACTCACTGAGGCCTGCACCTGGCCTGGCGTACAGTGGGTAAGTACCTATCATTGGTACTCTAGCTGCAAATCCCCTGCCAGGGTGGGGTAGGGTATAGGGAGGAGCCACCCGAAGCCCCCAGCTCCACTTACACCAGAAGTCCACTTGCTGGAAGCTTTTGGGCATGATGAGGTCACGCTTGCCCTTCAGTTTCTTGGGCCCAACTTCCACGGATGAGGACTCTGGTCTCCTAGAGCTGACCACAACAGGGGCCAGCAAAGAAAGCAAAGAAGGCATCAGAGTGAGAGCCCAGTGTGGAGAGAGGCTGGGGACAAGGCCAGGAGGCTAAGATTGATATGAATGGGCATAGAGCTCTAGTCAGCCTGCTGTTCACTGCAGAAGGTGGTGGAAAGCCTGGAGTCCTGAGACCTGGGCCACTGCTTGGGTCCTTCCCGAGCCGAACCTTTCCTCACCTGTAGCCCCAGGCGCTGCCCTAGCAGCGTGGAGGAAGGTGGGCAGGGAATGGGAACTTTCCTCTAGATCCCCAACCAACCCTGCCCAGTTACCCACCGTCCTTCCCCCATCCAGTCCCACACAGGGGCCTCACCAGGGCTGGCCATACTCCTGGTCGCGGAGTGGTGAGCAGACCTCTGTCTTCACCACAGTCACCATGTCCCCTACAGCTGCCTTGGTCTGGGCCAAGCACTCCTTCATGTTCTCAGTCATTCTGCTCTGGGGATGCAGGAGGCAGGACCAGCACAGGAAAAGGATCAAAGAGACAGGGGAGAGGGGTAAGTGGCAGAGAGGACAAGCAGGGGTCCCTGGGAGTCTGGTTACCCTCCCTGCCATCCCCAGAGGAAGCGCTTGAGAACACAGACAACAAAAACAGCTGTAGCCTGGCCAAGAGGAAATGCCATTTCTATCCCAGCCTGGTCTTGGGGACGATTGGAGCCACCAGCCCCATGGGGTCAGGGACCAGGGCAGCTCAGGCCAGGAGGCAGAGCTAGGAAGCATAGCCTGGAACCCCAGACTAAAGAGCAAGGAGCATGAGGACCCCTGAGAGCCTGGGGACAAAACTCTGCAAAGGGAGATAGGGAGGGAACAACTCAAGTCCAAAGTGGGGCCAAGGGGATGGGCAGACCAAGTGGGCCCTCAGAGCTGGGCCTGACTGATGGGCTTCCAGGAGCGCAGCCAGGCCCCTCCACCAGCTTGGAGCAGGTAGAGGCGGGGCTGGGGGAGGTCAGGGTGAGCCGGAGCTCACCGAGGGGAGTCTCGGCCCTGCGCTGCTTACCGCCCTCTGCCACAACGCCGGGCTTCAGCCCCTCCCTCGGCACCCCGCGATCCTCATGCCAAGCCAGGGACACTCCGGCCCAGGGCGGCGCGCAGCTCGGGCTAGGACCGCGCTGGGCCCGGGACTGGGCGAGCAGCGTGTGTGACTCACTACCCGGGGCCCCGCTGGCCACACCCCTGCTCCTCGGCTAATCAGCCCCCTGCTCCCCACCCGGGCCCCAAAGCCGGCGGCGGGGAGGGGTGTGGGGAAACAGGACGGCCTGCCCCCTCCTGCGAGCCGCGGGGCCGGAGCCTGGGGGCGCGCGGAGGGGACTGGGGCTGCCTGGCCCGGCGAGCCGCCCCGCCCCCAGCCCCGGGACGCCCGCAGTCCCTGGGACCCCGAGGTCCCCCGATCTGTGTGTCCGGCGGGGAAAGTGTGAGAGGTGGCGAGGTGGCCAGGGCGGCGCAGACCAGGGAGGCCGGGCAGGGCCGGGCGCGCTGCGCTCTCACCCACCTTCCTGGCGGGGCGCTGCGGCCCGCCCCGCTCCGCCCGCCGCCCGCCGCCCGCCGCCCGCCCGGCAGCCCGGCATTCCTTGCGGGGGCATGTGGCTTCTTGCCGGCCCCGGGGGCACGTAGTTGGCTGGCGGCCGGGAGGGGCGCGGGGAGCGCAGGGAGCGGGCGCCGGGAGGGGCGGCCACGGGGGAGGAATCCACAGCCGCCCCTCGCCCATCCCCACCCGGCCCGGACCCGACGGCCGGCGGGGGGCGCAGCTCCGCAAAGCGCGCAGGCCCCACGCGGACTCGGCGCGGCCGCAGCCACGCAGCGGACACCGCCTCGCCCAGCCGCAGCCCGCGCCCGCTGCCTTCACCACCTGCATCGCCGGGGTGGGAGCGCGGCGCCCGCCGCTCCTCCGCCTCTTGGCGGCCTACACGGGGCGCCACCTCATAGCCGGCGGGATGGTCCCTCGTCACCCGTGAAGGCATAGGGGTTGGAGGGCCCTGGGAAGCTGTCCAGTGACTTGCCCAAGGTCACGAAGACCATTCCTGGGGAGTCTGCAATAGAGGCTAGGGCGCAGCCTCAATAAATTGGAAAGAGGAGCACCCCAAGTTCATATTCATGTTGAGTAGGTCTGATTCATCTCCCTCAGCACGGTCCCCTTCAAAATAATTACTGGGATCACCCTTGGGTGGGGTCGTGCTCAGACTGCAAGTCCAGCCCCAGGTGCGACAAGGCCCTGTGGATTTGTTAATGATCATTGAACACCTGCCCCCTTCCCCCGCCCCCAGAAGCAGTTTACACTTGGATTGTGTTCACACACAATGCATCCTAAGGAAGGAGAGCCTAAGGGTTAGCTGCCTAGGTTCAAACTCCACTGATGGGCTGTGCGACCTTGGCAGGTGTTAGGGACTAAACCTTTGTTACCTCACCACCAGCACCAATATGTATATTGAAACCTTACACCCCAATGTGATGGTATTTGGAGACAGGGCTGTGAGGTGACAGAGGTCAAATGAGGTCTCAAGAGTCAGCTGCCCTTATGATGAAAAGGCAGCAGGGCATTCTGCCTCTATTCTCCATTGTGGAAGGACAAGCAAGAAAGTGCAGTCTGCAAGGCAGAGAGCCCTTGCGGTCAATGAATAGCCTGGCACCTTGACCTTGGACGTCTCAGCCTCCAGAACAAATGTGTGTGGTTTAAGCCACATGGTCTGGGGTATTTTGCTATGGTAGCTCAAGCTGACCAATACAGCAGCTTATCTAACGTCTCTGTAAAATGTAGCTGATAATACAATCCATCTCAGAGGGTGTGTGGGGGTGGGGCAGAGATGAGTTTGGAAGAGGGGAGGGAAGGGGCAGGGAGACATGGTCTCTGTACATCCTACTGGAGAAAGGAAGATGGAGATAGGTGACATCAGTTAGGAACAGCTTTGAATTCTCTTCATTGGATTGGATTTACTTTTTTAGCCAATCACTCGAGACACTGCTTAGGAATAATTTGCACAGGCTCCCTGGCTCTGACCCTCTGGGCAGTTCACTAGCCCCAACTGTATGTCATGCTCCACGGTGCCACAGAGCCTGTGGATGCAATGTGTCCTCACCCACCCTACAGCCCTGGCTTCCCCTTCCCTGGTAATGCCCTCTTCTAGTCCTGTGGCACACTTCACTTCACAGCACCTGTCACATTTATAATGGCCTTTTGCTAGCACAGTTATTTGATTGTAAGCTCCCTGAGGGCAGGATAGGGGCTGCTAAGGCATGCAGGTTAAAGATGCCCTCAACCTCAGGACCAGGCACTGGCAGCACTGACCCATAAGAACGAGAGCCTCCTTAAATTTTGCGCCTTAGTTTCTTGCTTGTCTCACACTAGTCTCAGCCTAGCCCCACACACAGCACGGCTCTCAATCAATATTTGCTAAGTGAATTAATGATTAAATAACACATGTGCCTGTCCACTGTGTCCCACTGGCCCTGCAAAGAACCTCAACTCGATGAGAGAACTCAGAAGGAAGGACGCTGTGGGCAGGTTATGGTTTGGAATCCTCTTCCCCAGGCCAGCTCTCCCCAGCCATCTCACCAGGCAAGGCAGGTGGAAGAAAGGCAGGAGAGGAGGCATTGAGAGCAAGTGCAGAGTTGGGAGACTTGGTGGAATTAGACTATGAGGCTTGCAGCCGGATTCAGACAACTCACTGCAGAGTATGAGCTGGGTGACACATCACCTTAACACTCTAGTTCTCAGAGTGTTCATTGGTAAGATGAAAATAATAATTGCCAGGTTATTCCCATAAGGAATAAACGGAATAAAGGCTGAAGCAGGGCCTCAAGAGGAGCCCAATGCCACTGATCTGTAAGGGACATTAATATTACCCTTTCTATCTGGAGGGAAGAGGGTGACAAGGAGGAAGAGAGGAGAGGATGGAGGGAAGAGAGACGACAGGGCAAGTAAAGAGGCAAAGTGGGCGATAAGAAGAGGATGAAGGATGGAAAGGAAGAGAACAAAAAATAAGGAAGGGGGTGGGGAAGGAGATGAGGAGGGAAAGAGAGACAGAGAACGGGACTGAGAAAAAGAGTCGTAAGTCTCTCATGGCCCCCTGCAAACCATCCCCTCCCTCATAGTGAAGACATCTGTGGGCCCCACTGTGCTTTCTTGTCTTCTCATTTACACCGTCCCCCATCACCTGAAAGATCTGCATGGCACACACGAGTTGAGAATCCCTTATCCAAAAACGCATGGGACCAGAGTTGTGTCAGACTGGGTGAGGAGTTTTTCAGACCGTGGAATGCTTGCATAGCCTTTACAAGTTGAATATCCCAAATATCCCAAAGTTCAAAATCCAAAATGCTCCAAAATTTGAAAGTTTTTGAGTGTCATACCAGTGTTCAAAAAGTTTCAGATTTCAAAGCATTTGGATTTTGTATTTTTGGATTAGGAATACTCAACCTGTTCTAAATAAGGCAGTTAAGAAAAAGAGCTGGGTGTGGTGATACACACCTGTAATTCAGCACTTGGGAGGCAGAGTCCAAGATCAGCCTGGGCTACATAGTGAGACCTTGTCTCAAAGCAACTCAAGAGAAAGAAAGGGGTGGGGGAGGGAGGGCAGGAGGGGAGAGAAAAGAAAAGAAAACAACTAGAATGTGTCAAAGGCCTCATAGAGAAAGAGTGGCACCAATCATACCAAAATCTTTTGCAAGATGGTTCAGGATTGAGCTTTCCATGTTCTCATCATTTGACACCTAATTATTGACTATATGCCCAATTCAGTTCTCTTCATTCTTGAAGAGCCCAGCTGCCTGGCGTGCCAGGACTAAGCCTCACTGTAGCCTGATGTGCATTCCAACTCTGAAGTGGACCACAGACACTTTTACTTTGAAACAGAGTCTCTGCATCTGCACTGAAGGCAGGAGGGCAGGAGAAGGAGAGGACCAAAGGAACTTCCCTCTGGGGAGAGAGAACATGGGCTAGTGTCCTGCACTGGGTCCATGTCAATGAGTGTCACCAGGACTGAGCCAGGAGAAGCACCAGCAGGCTTTCCTGCACACTGTTCCGGCCCAGTGAAGGGCTTGGGGATGAGTGGTGGGCAGCCCTGTGGAGGACTCCAAGAGGCTGGCTGTGCTCCTCTCCCTGGCTCCTCTGAGTCTGCACATGCAGAGATTAAGCCTGTTGCAACCCTAGCAATGAGATGCAAACCCAGGAGAAGGGGGTGGAGAGCAGCCCAGGGGCCTGTAGCTCTGCTTTCACCCTTGTCAGGGGGCCAGGATCCTGGAATGCCTGGCAGCCAGAAGGCCAGGGACCAGGAGTCTGTGCTTACTTGGTTTCCCTAAAGCTTGGCACCAAGAGAGTCTGGCAAGTCTTTCCATTACCCACCACTGCATCCTCTGTTGTCCCCTCAGATAAGAAAAGGACATAAGGTTAGGGGCTGGGCCAGGCCACTAACCCACAGACCTGGGCTGGGAATCTCCAGCCCAGG